TTCTAAGTACCCAGTCCCAGTACTATGCGTTCACAAGTCCAAAGTTTTGATGTACAGTGAAAAACCAAAGTCGCTTTGATTTGCTATTATGATTTAGCGTCGCTGTTCTCAGGTACAGTACATCTACCAGCGATGATGTTATACTTTCGCAACATCTTGAGTACGACCACAGTTCAGGACGTACTTGCCACATGTCAGGACTAGTTTAGTCGTAGCTAGTTCCAAATTTTTTTTTTGGAGACCTAGTTTCTGTTTCTCGTCCCAATTTCTGCAGCGATGGCCCAAATATCCATTCATATGTTGTTATAGTGACTTCATTTTTACATGATCAGCCGGCTCTGCCCTCTTTTTGGTATGCATAGACCTAATTTCTCCTTTCTTGATCCATTTCTGTCCAGGCTGACCTCATTGGAGCCGCAAAACGGGAGCAAACTAATACACAGTTTATTCCATACACCAGGTCCCCCTAGGAATTACCCAAAATGAATCCGTCAACCAATCGAATGCTTTAATTCCATAAAGATTAGCTTGTTCCATTTGTGAAATGGGGATTTATGTGGTAGATGGGGTTTGCCTGGTAGATCAGACTGGTGTTTAATTTTTAATTTCAATTCCTGTCATGATGTTGACAAAGCACATATTAATAGGACAGAACCTAATTTGTCATTGTAATTCTAGACTTTCCATTGCCTCATACAACTTACAATCACTGCCACCCCTCTCATTTCAAATGTAACATCCTATTTCCGCTTATCCTCAATAAAGTTTCTTTAAACCAAAACTAAATTTGGAATAGTCCATTGCAAAGTAGGGAGAATTGAAAGATGTAAACTTAAAAAATGGATAATTTAGTAGAGCTAAATTGTGATTATACTCTAATTTCTCTCAGGACCTATATTCGATCTCTGAATAAAAGGCGGATTTATCGTTTGAAAGCAAATTAGAATTGATTGAGGTCATCAAACTAATTTGTAAAACTAATTCGATAATTTTATTTTAAGTGTTAAACAAGGATTTTTGATGAGATTGTGATTTACTGGAGCATGGTAATTGTAGTACCTCTTATTATTAAGTTAAGTGGGCTTTATCCAGGATGTAAAACATGCTTGGTATAATTGACCTCCTAACAAACTGGAGCGTTCACCATCTGGAAAAGACGCATTTTACTAATAAAAGACCCTAAATCTGTAACTTGAAAAATAATGCAAATGTTTTAAAAGATATGATTAAATTATATCGATTATTTATTAGTTTTTATATTAATATTATACGCTTGTTTGTAAGTGTATTGGATAATTAAAATAATTTCTATTGTTAGAACAATAAAATATTTTTATATCATTTTTTTATTTGATGACACTGCACCTTTAGATCCTCCCTCCCCCCATCCCCAAAGAAAAAAAATGTATTCATATTTATTGAATACAATATAAAAATCTATGCAAATAACGAATATATCTGTTCAAGGGATTTTTTTTTTCTAATTTTAAATTGTAGTAACTAATAACCTACTGTTCAAATATATACATGAAATGTAATATTTGTAGAATCTTTAAACGATTTTGTTTTAGGGTCCTTTTTAATTTAACTTCAGTAGAAAGTAGAATGACTAACACAGCTAAAATATTGGTTTAAGTGATCTTCAAGAAATAATAATAAGAAATAGCTGAAGGGTAGGAATATTTGGAAGAAGAGAATGCATGCATATATAACAAGGGAAAGGATTGATCATATTTTAAGTGATAAGAAACTGTTAAAATAGGTAATAGAAGGATGATATGAATTGAGAAAGCCCAGGGGTAGAAAAATGACAGAAACGCTTGACCCATAATTGACAAGAACTGCTATGGAGGTGGAAGCTTAAAAGATTGAGGTTAATGTTCTTTCATAGTTGATAATGAAAAACATGTCTGTAAAAGAAACCTACTAGATACATAAACTTTCATTTATTTCTATATACACTATGTTGCAATAGGCAATAAATAGTTTCAATACCATTGTGAAATTTTAGATTAATGTCCTGTTCAGACAAAGAACTTTCTAGGAGGAAGTGTATGGAGAATTCTATAAAGTTATTAACCTAGAAAATGCTTCTTAGATTGTGAAGTTTTTGTCAATGATTTTGTTTTGATATTCCTCTGAACTAAATATATAACCCCTAAGTTCATAAAAATCAGGACTGGCCTTATAATTACTTCCCTGTCATTGAGTTGTGGTTCTTCGAACGATCCATTCTACAAGAGGTGAATGTAGATTGTAGATCGCTATTTAGGTTCAGTGTGGATAAAGATCCAATGTTGATAAACATCCCTCTATCCAAATGAGAATGCTAGTTGTTTTAATTTGTTTTTCTGCTAAAGCAATGCCAAATTTTATCATTTAAAACTCAGTTAATTTGATTTTCATCCTAATTTAATTTTAACTTATATTTAGTCGTGATTTTTTTTTTAGATTACGAGTTTATAGCAGTTTATTTTTTCTGTGAGGTCTTCTAAAGTCTAACCAATTGATTTTACACAAATGGAATGATCCATTCTATAAGGAGGTAACATGAGATCAGGATAATTTATCAATTTACATAATGAATTCTATCAAAAATTAGATATATCCCTACTTTATAAATAGTTGCTTCTGGTGAAAAGTAAAGCATTAACCTTTTGAATAGCTAGGTCCTTTGCTGAGTCCTAAAAACCTAGATTATTCATTATAATAATCATCAATGATGATAGAATAATCTAAATTGTTATCTTCTGGTTATCAACCAACTTCATTTGTTTAAATAGTACCAGTACTGTCTAACACTTGAACAATAAATTCAATATTTAAAATTTATGTGAATTGAAATATAAATTCAATGAATACCACAGACGCAAAAGCTGAACGTAATGCCAAGGTATGCAAGAGTTGCATTAACTTACTTTACACGCAGTGTCTTCAATAATATTCATGCTTGTCCTTCCTTCGTCACAGTGCGTTAAATCTCCCAATGCAGCATCAGACGTAAAGTCTAGGTTCACATGGGTTACTAAACAATGTCATCATCTCTGTAACCACTTTTTTATAGTGCCAATTTGTCACACGTCCCAACGGTGACATTATTGTGTTGAGTCCATGTGTATTTCGTGTTATTTGGCTACCACGTGTTGCCCTTTTCACCCTCCTATTTTCAGACCCTTGTAAAACTCCTCTGGAGCTTCCAACCCAACCAAGCCCACCATATTATATTAATGACTCCATTCTTTTGATCATCAATAAATTCAATTCAGCATTGATTTATTGTTGCTTATAGTCAAGTTATGTAGTGTTCCATTTTTTTGGATAAAGTATGGTAGAATTGTGTCAGTCAATGCGATGCTATCTATTTAGCAGTGCATGTGAATTAGGAAGTCCCCTCTGGCCTGTGTTTCTTGTGCTTGACCCAAATATGGGCGAAGGGGTCATTGATTTGATGTGATGATCTCAGCCAAGCTAGGGAAAGTATTGGTGCATCAATCTATCTAAAGCCCTATACAGACTATCAAGGCATGCTTAGATATGGTCATGATGACATCACATCATGACTATATATGGGCATACAACAGTTTTTTTTGTCTAAGATAGTATGATAGTCTAAACAGTGCTCTACATTTTTATTTATTGATGGTTTGCACTCTTTCTCTGTCTACTTTCATCCAATAAGTAGTTCTATAATGTTTAAATAAATATTCATGATTTAATTTGCATATTTGATATATGCATTTTACATTTAACAATTTTATAAATATATCAACACTGTTCTTTGAATCATCTCAATTGTTTTCACAGTCTCCTGATTTTATTTATTTATTTATTTATTCACCAAAACAACAGCGGACAAAAATCCGCCACTAACAGTATGGTTAACAAAGGACGAGACGACGGAAACAGAAACACAAACAAAATTAATTTTAACTAATCACGCCTAAAACGCTACGACGGAAAATGTGCAGATTGGAGTTAAATAAATCTAATGACGGATAGTCCTGAACTAACTTGTTATACGAGGAACTTAATTTACTAATAAACCCATTTTTTAAAATATTGACTCTACTTAAAGGAACATAAAGTACATCATTATTTCTTAAAATACGGACAGGAACACAAAGGGCAAAATTAGAAACTAATTCACAATCAAAGATAGAAGTCAAACATTTAAAAAGAAATATAAGGTCATTATAATTTCTACGGGACTGGGGTGATTTAATTGAAAACTTAAAATTAATATTAGTCCAATTGTGACTGATGTAGCGCAAAAACCGGGAATGAAGGCGTTCAATACGTGAAGCCTGAGTTTTTGAGATAGAATTATAAATGACGGAATTTAGGTTGAATAAGTGTAATGTACAGATATGCTTTAGAATGTGGGTCCAGATATTTACAGTTGCGCCACATCAATCCAAGCAACATACTGCATTTCCTAAGAAGATGGTCTATATGAAAAGAAAAAGTAAGGGAGCTATCTAAAATAACTCCAAGATCACGATGTTGCAGCACTTTATTAATCGGTTTGTTGTCAACTAAATAAATATTATGAAGATGAAGTCCACTGTGTGGATGAAAGCTAGAGAATAAATTCTATATTTATTGTTAGTCTCAAAAGGGCTGCTGTTATTTACATGTACCTTATATTGTTCTATACTGTATCAGACTAACGCGTCTATACTTTTTATTCATCTTGTTTTCTTTGTTAATTCTAAAAATCCCACTGGTCTGTTCCAATTTGTGGCAGACACAATAACGATGATTTTCAATAAAATATTAACTGCATTAATAAGATCTTTTTTATTGTTATAAACGTATCAACACTGCTCTTTGAATCATCTCTGACTTCGATTATTGTTTTTCTTTTTAGGTCATCCTTTGTAAATTCTTAAAATCTCACTGTTCCAATTCGTGGCAAACACAGTAATGATGATTTTCAATAAAATATTAATGTCATTAATAGGATTTTTTTTTTTGTATTTTGTTTTCTTTTCTCTACTAGTGCCGTGCCTTACATCAACGATTGAGCTTAGCAGAGAAGTCAAAGCAGAAAGTTCAAGCAGAACTGCAAAAGGCAAATCAAATGATCCTGCAATTACAGGTAAGCTAGTTAGCTTTGATCAATGTCCACAGTAATGCCACGCAGGTGAAAACAGCCTCACCAGGTGCTCATGCTATCGTCAGACTCCAAGCTTGACTTAAAGCCAGGCTCAGGAGGGGAAAAAAGTACAACTGATTTTTCTAAGCAAAAAAGAATTTTTAACGAAAAACTCATTAGTGGTTAATGAGATAGAAAAATTTAAAAAGATGGAAAAAAGAGTGGTTACACCCATTTTCTCCCAGTTTTTAAATTAAAGAATCTGTATTGTTAGATCTTCCCAAGTTTTTATTTAAACGCTTGTTTTAAGTCTTAGAATATCAGTTGTATAACATTTTTTAAAAAAAGAATTTTCTCCCGAGCCTGGCTTTTAAGGTTTAAAATACAAGACATCCATAAACATTGAGAGGAAGTCGTGTGTTAATATGCAATTAAACAAACTATACAAAAACAGTGATAATATAAGGCCATTCGAATGGAGAAACTAAATACTATAAAACTGATTTATTATCATCTGTAAAACTTTCATAGAAAGCTACCCACTTAATTTATTAGGCCTTTTTTTTTTATTTTCTTGTTTGAGATATTTAAAAGTGAGAAGGACAAGGTCGTTTTTTTTTTTTTTTCTTTCTTTCTTTATTCATAGCAAAGGTGGATGCACGTTCCTATACTCCTTGCTTATGAATATTTTTTAGATTTCTACAATATTCTGAGTGTTTTAGCTTTTGAAGTATAGAAAAAAGGCACTCCAAGAAAATATAGAGAACAAAAAGCATGATTTATTTTTATTTGGCATTCAGTTTACTAAATATCAATTTCCTTTTTGTGTGTTGTACTACTTTTATTACATGTAGTTGTTCCTTAAACCAATAAATGAAAGGAGATGATGTATTTGACCCAGTTTTCTTTTCAACTTTTTAATGGGAGTTGTGTTTTATGAATAGTGGTACATTCCAAATGTCTTGTTGCTTAGTGTAATGTGTCTGAAATATGGGACAGAACATCCCCTGTAAAATAATAGAATAGGCTATTTTTACTTTATTATTCCTAGTGATCATGTAGCATTTGATTATTCATGAATTATTCAACTTATGCTCTTGCGGAATCAGTAATTGATTATATAGAGAAAAGGTAGAAAGATGTAATTTTTCTTTTTAATAAAATAATTAAAACCAAATTAACAATGGTAATTCTTCTACGTTTGTTAGTAGTGTAGATTTGTATAGCGCCAGTATCCATCAACCAAGATGCTCATAGCGCTTGATATGTGAACTAGTAACTCGATGAATGACTTTCTCCTCACTTAAGGGTCCCTTCATCCCTGTGCTACCCGGTAACCCAGTACCACCAACCCTCGTCGTCCACCACAGTGGTTGTCTGTACCAGTAAACCGGGCCAGTACACCGTCTCGAATGATATGCTGGGTTCTTTATAGTGCACATGAGCCGTTGTGTACACTAGGCCTATGGTTTATAGTCCTTATCCGGAGACTTTTTCTTCCACCAGAACCATAGACGAGCGTCCTGTTTTTGCAGCGCCCCTGCCTTAACCGCTCGACCATTCGACTAGAATCAATACAGTGCCTAAAAATTGTGTCATTGAAACCATGTTTAAACAAAATGAAATTTAAATATTTCAGAATCCAAATAATTACAGAGGGATGATTTATTCTTATATATTCTATTAAATCCTTATATGACGATAAATAATAATTTCACACGAGTGGCCACCCCTATTAAAAAAGTAGAGTAGTTTAAATTTTAAGTAACACAATTAGGTATATTTCATACAGAGTTCATGACTGCTTTTGTTTATTTTGTGTAATTGCATGTTTAGACTTTAATTTATAACTATGGTAATACTGTAGTAGTTTCTATTTAATAGCATTTTAGTCTCATGAAAAAACGTTAACAATAACATTGCTTTCTAATCACAAAGGAAACAGAAAGTTAAAATTGACTTATTATTGTTATGAATCAATTTAATTATATATATTGCGTTTGTTAATCTAAAATGAATAAAATCCATTATATGGGTTGCTTACTTTTATCATTTAAATGGAGGTGGCATGAAAAATTCAAGAAAGTACAAGCTACCTATGTTTTTTTTTAGTTCGAACTGCGGTTTAATTTATTGTATTTCCAATCATTGTTCTTTTACTTCTTTTCACTTTTAATCGTTTCGTAGACCAATAAATGAAATGAAGCATTCGACCAAGTTCCCATGCTACCTTGTTAATGGGAGTTTAGTTTGATATGAATAATGGTACATTCCAACCCTGTTGTATAAATGGATGTTCCTAACAGTAAAAATTTGAGATGAATCCCCCCTTTGAAGTAATAGAATAGACTATTATTTTTATTATTCTTCATTAATTCTAGTGATTGGGCATTATTGATTAATCATGAATTATTCCAACTTATACTATAGTCATTAGAATGAAATCTAGTAACTGATAGTTGAACAAAAAATCTATGGTGGCATATGATTTTCTGTTTTTGTAATATTTTTAATCCCCAAATCCACATTTCGAATAATATTTCTGAAAATATTTTTTATTAGAATCAATATCATATTAATCATTTAAACTAAATGAGATTTAACCATTTTGAAGTAGGAGATATATTGATTTCAGCATTTGGGTAATTTCATATGTACTTAATTTTAAATAACCAAGAAATTGAAATTATGCAACTTATGACCACCCCTGTTAAAAAATTAGAATAGTCCAAATCCAAGTACAGAATCACATCCAAGTTTTCTTTTAAAACAAAGTTTATAGATTATTTTTCTTGGATAATTATATATTTTACTCTTTATTTGTAAGTAGTGGATAAATTAACAGCATAGCCTAATGATTATTGAATTATAAAATTTAGTTTGGTTTCTTGCCAAATCAGGGAACAGAAGTTTAAATTAAATACTTAAATTATTAAATTTTTTTTTTTAAATTATTTAAATTTAAGGAAAAATTAAATTTAGTATTTTAATTGCTCACTGTAGGTGATATTGAAGTATGTTATTTGCTTTCAATAAAAAAGTTGATATTAAAATATTTTTAAAAATTTACAAATAAACAAAAAATATTATTCCTATATTCTGTGCTTAAACCATTAATTAGATGGTTGAGGTTCTGTTCTAAGCCTTGAGGTTTGAGGTTCATTCCTTCACCGTGCATTTTGATTGTGTTATAGGCAAGGCACTTTACCTATGGTTGTCTCTCCCCACCCAGGAGTACAAGTGGGTACCTGGTAGGTTCAGACACAAAAATGCATTGATATACGGTAATAGAATTCTCACCAGGGGCCTGGAGTATCTGTACCCTATGTGCTTGATCCAATAACAAGGAGTAATAATTTTAAGTGTATAGACGTCTCAACAACATTGTTATTATTATTATATATTATTTAATTGTTAGTACTGTATTTAATTATTAGTACTGTATTATCATTATTAAAGGATTTATAATAGATGTTGAATTATAAAACATTTCCCCATGATTCCTGAATTCCCTTGGCAACCATGTCTTGCTTGTTTCCATGTATTTTTTTCAAAGAAATCTTTCACCTTGTCCTCGTTTACTTGATAAATTTTGTATTGTACTTAGGGAAGTGTAAACTACATTCTATGATCTTGTAATGCATATTAAAGTCCGCTAACATTATCCGGCTTTTTTAGGACGCTATAATATTATTCTTAATTAATTAATGTGTTTATGATTTGCAATTTCCATCTTTATTACTTGTCTCTATAATAACCCTCCCTTTCTCTCCATTATTTTTTTATAACTCCCCTTTTTAGTTCCTATGCATGTAATGCAATAGGAACTATTGTAATCACTCTTGCTATTTCCTATGTTTTTTATTGTGTGTAGTGTGTATGTGTGTGTAGAC